TAATGCTGCCCTCCAACTGTTCCCGTCAATTTCTTTGATTGCACAGAGGGGTGAAGGTCCTAGAAAGAAAAGTAAAGTAAAAATGATCATTAAGATAAGACAAAAAAATGGTTCAAAAGGAAAGATAAGATCCATGAGAAAAACATCTCAAATAGGTAAACTCCAAACATGAAGGGGAAGTGGATGGGTGAGTGAGACTCACCCATAATGATATTTTCAGAGAAGCAAAATTATAGATGAATAATGTTCCCTTCTCCATAGGTAGCATCTGTGCAGGATTCTCACTCTTGGATAGTAAAAAGAAATAACTTGCCAAAAGGAAATGAAAGCACAGCTGTAAAGAGCCTCAACAACAAAGCTAATGACAATGTGAACAGGAAATACATGTTTGTGTACATTTATCATATAGTATACAATGACTAAGAGACCTCTCAAAGTTCAGCATCAGAGCAGGTATATGGCCTGCTAGAAAGACCTCAACACTAGAGAAAAGATCCAGGCAAAACTTGAACTCATAAGCCAATATCCCAAAATAAAACAAACCTTAATTTTTGGTTTGACCTCCCCTACCCTGGAAACATGTATCGACATGAAAAACAGTATACTGCAGACTTGCATAAACATACATATATACATTGTGTAAAGTCATCTAGATTTACCTAGAGAGAAAGGGGGATGCAGCAAGGAAGAAGAGAAGAAAATGAAATCCTGGTATTTCATTCCTTTTCCCCTTCCAAAGCATTTCATTTTTCTCACTACCCAGCATTTCATTTCCAAAACTTAGACAAAAGGGAGGCAGTTACTCAGCTTGTCTGGACACAAACAGCTGGAATAGGGTAGGTGACAGAGAAGCCTGAAATATCAAAAATGGTTCAGGAAGCACTGACACTAACTGCATGAAAACCAACAAGCAAAAGATGCCAGGGACACCAGTCTCCATGCCAAAGCTTTTGCACTGAGAAAAGAAGCATCTGCCTCAGCACAAAAATCATTCCAGTGTACTGATAATCATACTCCTGCTGATACGGGGGAAGGGAATCCCCGAAAGCTGGTACAGAGAGTTTAATGACGGCATCCTGTCTAGCCACAGAGGAGCCTGCCCATGTCTAAAGGAGAACAAACACACCCCACCCCCCCCCACCCCACCCATGTTTCTTCAGGACATTGAACAGATGGCAAAGCCCACACCAGATCATCTGAGTTCATCTTCAGAGTTGTCAACCCAGTTTCCCAAAATAAATAAATAAATAAAAATCAGCACCCACTTTGATAAACGATTTTTCAGCTGCTCTATTCTCTGTCAGGAGTAGAGCATTAAAAACATTGTATTGCCACCACTAGCTGAAGCAAGGGAAAGATTGAAATTAAATGTATTTTTAAATTAGTAGAAGTGGAGTGGGGACAATAAATCATAATGTTAAGATGAATACAATTATGTAACTGATAATAAGGGTTTAATGATAAAGATAGTTTTGAGCAGTTGCAGCCAGGAATAAGAGGGTGGTGATCACAGGGAATCATAGCCAGTGAAAATAAAAAGGTGGTCTTGGAGCGATTTGGCCAACAGCAAACAGGCAGGCTGAGGTGAGAGAAAGGTCACTCCAAAAACCTGGAGGGAGGAGTCAGTCAAGCATGGTATAGGTTTTCAATCAGGTCCTCCTTTGATTGACAGATGAGTTTAGCAGCTGTGATTGGTTCATAAGAACAGACCAATCAGGGAAAGCATAAGGATGATGATTATGCTAATGATAAGGATTGACTAAACAATCAATCAGAATAGGCTACAATCTGTATACAAGGCAGGTTGCTGACAGGCTTCATTCACTGTGAGTGGGAGGCGCTGGAGTGAGTGAACATTAGGAGAATCATCAGAAGCTGAAATCACTGAAGAAAGAAGAACCAAGGCAATGCAGTTGGAGCAGTGGCAAAGAGCAGAGGGACAGAAGACTGTGGAGAAGTATGACGACACTCACATAAGAAATTAGAATGTATGAATGTATATGCCTGAGATAATAAAGCTGGATGTTTGTGTACATACATTTGTTATTTTAAGTTGTAATAAGAACTTGCTGTCAGCATCCTGTATGTGATTGGCCATCACATGCAGAATGTAACCACTTAAAGCTATTTCCCATTGTATAATATTGCAATGTTGGGTACTTTAATGTGTATAGGTGCCAAGGAAATTTATTTTACCTTTTTGATGTATGCCTTTTGGAAGAATTTAATGTTTTAGATTTATTGTATGAAGACATATTGTGTCAAATAAAGTTATTTTTGTTTGCAAAGATTGCTGCCTGAGTGTCGATCCTCTGAGCAGAAGGCAGTATCCATGTCCTCCCAAGGGTCAACACAGTTAGTCTGTTCTGGGAGTTCTCCAAAGGTCAAAGGGAAACCCCTGGTAAAACCCTGGCAATTCCTCCATAGTGGGACACCCCCTTTCAACTACCAAAAACAGACAAACTGAGGATTAAGTTACTGATATAGGCAGGCCATTGTGGGGGTGCCTTAAGTCTGATTTTGGGGGTAACAACTTCTTCTAGCTGTGACTCACCAGTAAGTTCAAAGATATCTCATCATGGAATAGGGGTTATAAATTCTAATTCTATAGTATGAGACAATATATTCACGTGATGTTTAAGAAAAGTTTTGTAAATGACTTCCAATAGTTCATGGATTAGGGACCTAATCTTATGGGGTTCCAGGGGCTTCTATATAGCTTATTTAGGTTAATCTTTCTATCTACCCAATGGGACTCAGTGCTCAGTCTAGAAGATACCATCAGAGATGCTTAGTTTTGCAGTTCTCAAACTGTGGATTTGTGTCTCCAGAGATAACATGCTTGTTAACAGCAAAAACGTTTTAAAATAAATAAATATGTAGAGGTGAGAAATAACAGACCTCAACCCTATTGTCCCTTTGCAAATTCGCGTACACAGAGGCAATCCCTTGCCTCTCTCTAAAAGTGCAAAGTTTCAAAAAGTTCAATGAATAGAAGATTGTTGGGGGCGGAATAGATCTGGACAAGGAGAAGAAGTCTGGAGATAAACGTGAGAAGTGAGAGACATATGCTTGTTTTGTTAAAATATTATACGTTTGTTGTTGAAGAAAAAAATCAGAATGCTTAACGTTGTTGTTTTAGTTAAATAAAACAATTTAAATGTCTGTCTGGTGATATTCTCCTCCTAATACAGCATGACAAGAAAATCCTCCAAATATTAATGATTAAACTGTTGAATTAGAGATAGTTCCCAGTGATTTCATAAATATCTGCTTCAATTACTTTTGGTAAATGAAATGACCAATCATTCATTTTGTGATATAGCTATAAAACTAATCTGAAAAATTTTCAAAATAAATCACTGTTTAAAAATGTATAGTATGTACCTTCTAAAAATGAAACCTACATCTATCTCTGAGTTGTGAGGAATATGTGTTGGTTGTTATAACCTTAATAAGAATGCACTTTTATGTAGGAAACCATGATTAAATCGAGTCTTCCTCACTAGTGATTTAAATCATGATCTAAATCAAATCCACCCTGTCACCAACCCAGATAGGCACTGAACCACAAAACAAAAACAAGCAAGTGGCTTACCAAGAACTAATGTGCTCAGTAGCCATAAAACTGCCTAATAAATTTAGATGTCGAGGGGTGGGAAAATAAAAGAAACCGAGAAAGCACTGCTGAAGTACACAAAAGTGCCTGAACCAAAGGCCTCAGAAATTTAGAATACTGAACTGGACTTGACTAAAGGCTGGAACCGAGAAATCAGGTCTGGCTCCAGGCACCAGCGCAGGAAGCAGGTGCTTGGGGCGGCCAATGGAAAGGGGCGGCATGTCCGGGTCTTCGGCAGCGGGTCCCTCCGTCCCTCTCGGAGGGAAGAACCGGCCACCAAAGAATGAATGAAGCGGCACGGTAGAGCAGCCGCCGAACTGCCGCCGATCACGGCTTTATCTCCCCCCCCCCCCTTCTTCGCCGCTTGGGGTGGCAAAAAAGCTGGAGCCGGCCCTGCGAGAAATGTTATCTAAAATGATGGGGGAGGGATATCTAAAATAGGGGGGAGGGATAACTCAGTGGTTTGTGTATTGGCCTGCTAAACCCAGGGTTGAGAGTTCAATCCTTGAGGGGGCCACTTAGGGATCTGGGGCAAAATCAGTACTTGGTCCTGCTAGTGAAGGCGGGGGGCTGAACTTTCAGGGTCCCCTCCAGCTCTATGAGATAGGTATATATAACCCTTCCCCCTTTTCCAAGCAACAGTCTCTGTCCTTTGCTGAATACAGACAGGAGGATCTGTCTGGAAAATTGGTGGAGGGCAGCATTTACAACCAGTAGGGGTAATGTGAGATAGCCTGTACAGGGCCTGCATCATGTTCTACCTCAAGGGCCAAACAACCTAAAGGAATTATGCCAGTTTTGAGCTAATCCTAATTTCTGGGAGTGAAAATCCTGCACAAATTATATCTTTAGAGAAAATAGTTTTTCCTCCTAGTTATTGTTCATCTTGTTGCATAGAGCGTATGAAAGGTACTAATTGCTTCCAGGCCTGTCATGTTTAAATATAAAATACTATTTCCCTCCCACAATGAACAAGTTCTTACTTAGTAGCTATAGAGATGCTTATAAATAGAACAATAGTTTGGGTGAAGTGTAAACTGGTTTACTGGGTGGTGTGTGTAGTAAACTATTTATGTTACAAGATGTGACTATGACCAAAATCTTCACAAATACCAGAACTGGGGATTGTCTCTTTCCCTTCCATAACTACAACCGTACATTTCACAATTCTACTGGAAAAGTTCACCAAAACTATTTATTCAGCTCCACAATAGAGATCACTGTTTTGTGAGTGTAAAATGTACTTAATGATACAAAATAAAATTGAAGTTTCATGGGTCACCTTATTGTTTTGATGAAGTCACTAGACAAATTTTGTGAAATTTTAAAGACTGATAGGTCTATTTGTCCATACCAATATATTTCAAAACCAGGGACTCACCCGGAGTTATTATGGTGAATATTGCACGCTCTTGCCATTAGCACCACAATCATTGGTCGAAAGGCTTTCCCTTTTCCATCAAAGTAATATTCACACATTTCCCTAAGTTCTGCTGTAGATACAAGTAATTCCTGTAAACAGAACAATGTATTACTTTCAAAGATACATAATCAACCTGGATTACAGGTCAGGAACATGCATTCAAATCCTCTTAGCTAGTTGTTTGGTTTTTCTCCCTCCAATTTATGTTAGAATTGGTTTTAAGACTATTCCTCATAAAAAAAAAAAAAAAAAAAAGATTAAGAACAGTGAAGTACTCTAGATAGTGGAAACAGAGAGTCATTTTTCTGCTTCCATCAGTTACGTAATGATTTCCTCTTCCCCTTCATTTTAGATTTAGAGGAGATCACATGACAGCAATACACGTAGACTATCAAGAGAAATCTTCCTTCAATTACTTTGCTTAGAGTTTTGGTAAACTTTAAAGGGAACCAGATGGTAGCATTTAACTGTTTTCAATGTCAGAATCATTATATTGTCCTAAAGCATTCACCAAAACCTCCTACCTTTTTAATATCTTCACACAGATTCTTCAAGTCTTTCCGACCAAGTTTAAAAGGGTCCTTGAATTTTTCATCAGTAACTGTTTTACTACAGCTACATGTTGGTGAGGTTGTTGTATGATGAAACCTGGCAACCGTATGATCCAAAAGAATTAAGATTGTTAAAAATGGCTTTTTTTCTGACTTTACACAACAGAAAGAATTCATGAAGGCTCTTGCCTCCCCAAAAATACTTTCCGACAGCACAGTGAGACGTTTAGCATGGCTACATGTCAGGATATGTTAAATGTGACACAGATTTTAGAGTGATGTGTAAAATGCAGCATTTGAGAAAATGTGTTCAGTAAACTAGAGAGGACTTTTTTAGCAATGAAATTTTTATTTTTCTTTCCTCGACAGCCAATTTGCAGGTGTAGTCAACACCTGCAATTTGGTGTCAACAGAATGACTTTACCATCCCTTTTTTTCTTAAAGAAAGTGGTTTCTATTTTGGAGTTGAATATACTCTACACTCTATGCAGCTAGTCACTCTGGCCAACCATGTCTACATCAAATTCAGTCCTCCGGGTAGGACAAAGAGTCAAAGCCTCTTTCTGGATATGCCAGGATCGATAGGGAAAGAGCCTAATTTCCTTGAATTTGGGGGTTATATCCACACACTAGGTTTCCTCTATTTCAACCTCAGGACATTACCTGAGCTTTTTTCATTGCTGCAAGTTTTTCCATGATGGGAGCATTTCAGTCTACCTTCATGCCACATCAACAGAAAATGTAATATGACCTATATTAAATTGGTCTTGTACACACTAGGGTGAATAATCTCATTTTACAGTCTGTTTTAATAACCAAAGCATTACAGTTTAAAATCCGCAACTTCACATATGCAATCTACCTAATATAATTACTTCTTTACCTACTTTCGTTGTTACCTAGCAATATGGAGCTTCAACTTACCGCAAAAATATACTACGAATTTTTGGAAATGACAAAACTGAACTTCTCCCCAGAAAATAATGCATCTGCAGAAAGAAAAGACTACTTTTACTCTAAAATCAAAATCGTTAAATTCAGTGGAACTATATGATCATTAATACTTGTTCATTAATATTTTGTTCCAGTATTTCCTCATATAGATAGAGAGTTGTAAAACCCAGTGCAAAGGCAGTATTGCAATTGTTTCCTTACACGATGTGGTATGTACATATATATAGCCAGTTAACTACTTGATAAGCTGACTCCTGCACACAGGAATGCCGAACTTACTCCTTCTAGTCACTAAGAAGAACCAGGGAGGCACCTTTTATCTAACTGATATCTGAAAACTGTACTAGCAAGACCCAGTTTGTGCACTCAGGAGAGGCACAGTCTCCTTTCAATGGCTCATTATCTTGCAGGTAGATTTGGGCTGAGCTGCCAAAGGACAAGAACTACTGGCACGACCCATGTTGGTATTTCCAGGAACTGCTAAACAAAAAAAAAAAAAAAAAAAAGTGTGCATCCTCTGCTTTCCCCTAAAAAGGTTTTAATTCAGCATGCCTCCTACCTTAGGCCTGGTCTACACTAGGACTTTAATTCGGATTTAGCTGCCTTAATCCGAATTAACCCTTCACCCGTCCACACTACAGAGCCAGTTAATTCGAATTAAAGGGCCCTTTAAATCGATTTCTGTACTCCACCTCGACGAACGGAGTAGAGCCTAAATCGATTTTGTTAATTCGAATTAGGGTTAGTGTGGACGCACACCACCGAATTACTGTGTTTAAGTTAATGGGGTTGTGTGGCCGCACACCACCGCATTAATGTGGTTTAAAACCGAATTAAGGTGCTTAGTGTGGACGCGCACAATCGAATTTATACAACCTGTTTCCCAAATTCGAATTATCTAAATTCGGATTAATCCTGTAGTGTAGACATACCCTTAGTCCATTGTGCACAGAGAGTAAGGCCTGGTCTACACTTGGGAGGGGAGGGGGAGGAGAGAAGAATCAAAGTTACGCAACTTCAGCTACGTGAATAACGTAGCTGAAGTTGACGTACTTAGATCTACTCAATGCGGTGTCTTCACTGCGGTAAGTCGACTGCTGACACTCCCCCGTCAACTCCGCCTGCGCCTCTTGCTCCAGTGGAGTACCGGAGTTGACTGGAGAGCGCTCAGCTGTCGATTTATCGCGTCTTCACTAGACACGACAAATCGACCGCCGCTGGATCGATTGCTCTGGAGGTAAGTGTAGACATGCCCTAAGAAAGAATACTGCACAGGCTTCAAACCCTCACCATCCACCCATCCTTCCTGGAAAAGTTAAAAGATAAAGAAGTTAGGCCTAGACAAGAAGTGAACATTCAAATCAGCACAATTCCCGCTAAAGATCAAAATACTAATGCCACAGGACTCACTGTGAATCCTGCCCCTTCATAAAATCTCGCTTGGGGAGGTACAAGGACAATTCATGGGGCATTTGCAGATTACAGTTGCAGCAGCTGGAGCTGCTACTATGACATATCCATGATTTCAGTCTCTTTCAGTGGACAACTGGTGTCCCATTTCCTTGTAAGTGCCACAAAATGTCTGATGGGAAAAGGGAAGTTTTGCTCCCCTAACCCCCCAAACTGCACTTCAGGAACAGTGCATGTAGCTAATTACTTAAGTGTTTTCCTCAAAATGCAGCATGAGACGCAGTGACTATTTGGTGGTTTATATGAGAAACTGAGGCACTGAAGGCAATTTTTTATTTTATTTTTTAACCTCAGGTCACACATACCAATCAATCAATACAGCCAGCATTTCTTAGTGCAGGTCAAGCCAACAACCCGACATTGAGAGATAGACCTAAAACACAACCATAATTAAAAAAAAAAAAAAAAAAAAAAAACTCTCTCTCATTTGGACTACAAAAAATGTGAAAACTGTATTTTCTTGCCAAACTCAAATTATAGGTGATAATGAAAACACTGGTTAATTAGCCTAGTTCTCCTAACACAACTATAGGAAAACCTTTATAGGGTCTTCCCCCCAACAAAACAAGTCCCGACCCCATAAAGACTTTAATTTAGCAGTAGTCTTGTTTCAGGGCATACTAAGGAGGATCAAGGACGAGGGGAAATGAAAATCCCCATCCCTTTGTAGGGAAAGAAAAGCTGAGAGAAGCTTAATTCAGGCTGTGATTGCAGTGGGACTACTCGTGCTTAAAGTTTCATATGTATGTTTGCAAAAACCAGGACTTTTGCATTTGTGTCTAATCTATTAAGCTACTTTAAAAACAATCAATCTAGTTTTATATTAATTATAGATGTAAGAAATAAATTCCACTTGTTCTGAATGCCAGAAAACAACATTATTTTTTACAGTTTTCTTCTGCATTTCCACCTTTGCTGAACTCTGGTCTATCTCAATTTACACATGTAGTTAAAGTGATCAACAGTGTCTTGAGGTATGTCTACACTTATGGCGGCATATAGACTACAAGACACTGCATGCCCAGCTAGCACGGGTGAGGCACCACTAAAGCGACAAGAATGCAGACATACCTAGAGTATATATATACCCTATGTGATTCTCTACACACCCAAGCAGTACTTCCCACCTCTACACTGCTATTTTTAGCAGCGTAGTGTCCAACTTCCAGAGCCTTAACCCACTGCAGCTCTGGCAACTCCCTGCTGCTGCAGCCTTTCCCTGCTGCTTTCCTGTGGTGTGTAGCTACATGTACCCTGCATGCCTCTGTCATTGTAGACAAGGCCTTAGATTCTGGTTACTTCACCAAGACCCCTGCTAAATTACAGATACAGTACCAGTAAACAGACCATTTACTTCATCAGTTCTGTGTAAATCTAATCACATCCTCATATATTCACAAAAGTAATAAAAAAAACAAATCAAACATGTATTTGGGTCACTGCACAGTATTTAAAATCTAAACAGTCATAAAGCAAACATAAAAAATGTCATTATCAAATCAAGTTTTATGACATTCTCTAATTACCCTTGAAACTTCTTTTTAAGCAAATGAAAGGGATACTATCAGGTTGTTTTTTTAAAGAAGTTCCTTAGAAACTAATATTACATTAAAAAAGTAAAACTAATTTAAAACTTCTAATTTCTCTCACTTGAGCACTGAAAATACATTAGTCACTTTTTTCGATCAATTTCACTTTCAGGCATTACTACAATTAAGCATATATGCAGTGCAATAATGCAGGGGAATGTTAATTTGTTAACAAAATTTATTAATTTTCATTCTCTCTCAATACAGATCAATTATAAATAATTCTGTAAGTACAGAAAGACCTACATTTTGGGCCAGAAGTAAAGTAGTAGCAGGAAGCTACTTTCACGTGGAAGGTTACAGCACATCCATTTTGAGAGCTTTTAGGCCTGGAAACTATCTGCAGTTCCTTGTGGATACAATAGAAGCTGTCTGTCAGATGCCTGACTAGCAGCATTCTCCCAGAAAAGGTGAGGGCTTGAGATTACCATGTTCTATAAATGTGTTTCACAAACAGCATATTTCTGCACACGTTCACGTGTCTTTCACTGACTGCAAACATACCCACCACCCTGGTACCCCAGCCCTCACATACCAACCCCCACTCTGAACATCCCTGTCCTCTGTACCGTATAAAACATTAATATATTTCCTTCCCCTTCTGAACCCCACAGACATGCCATCCATGTCCCCTGCACTCCACATGCTCCTCCCTCCTTACCTTGCACTTCATGCCCCCAGCCTACCAGTACCCCTTACACTCCATGAGCCCCTCAACCCGGTGCCCCTCGCACCCCCATGCCCCTTAACTCGGTGCCCTTCGCACCCCGATGCCCCACACGCTCCTTAGCCCGGCGCCCCTCCCACCACACGCCCCACCCCGCGCTTCCCATTCATTCCCTGTGACCTCTAGTTGCCCGCAGCCCCGGCTCGCTCACCTCGGCTCCCCCCCACGGCCCGGCCCGCCCGGGACCCGGAGCCGAGTCGCGGCCCGACGGCCTCCAGCAGGCTCCGGAGGGAGCCGAACGCGGGCGCCCGGGAGAAGCAGCAGCGCCGCCACCACAAGGCCATGGCGTCTCCCAGCGATGCTGCCGCCCGCTCCGCCTCCCGGCCCCGCCGCGACCCGGAAACGCTGCTCAGCCGCCCTTTCCCCCGCGGGCCAGGTCCGGCCAGGGCGCAGCCGGGGGCGGGGTGGAGCCTCCTGCGGGGACGGGGTGGTGCCGTGGCGGGGATACGTGGGGAGGGTGAGGAGCAGGGGGCAGCCAGGCCCCATCTACAGCCCTACGGGGAGCCGCCCACCCCTGCGCCCTCGGCCCCTGCAGCCAAGGGGGTCCCCGGAAAAAGACACCGCCCAGCCCGGGATAGGCACAGCCGGGCAGAGCGCCCGGAGCGGGGCACAGACCGGGGAGACGCTCCCCGGCAGGGGCAGACAGATCATTCCCAATCCCAAGTACTCCCTTGGCGTGACAGGACGTAGAAGTGCAGCCAAGGGCTTGTGCCGCCTTCCCGTCTGTGAGCCATCCTGCACCCTGGGCTGTGAATGAGTCACACACTCTCCGCGGGCGGGCGCCTTGCCTGTTTTCTGAACTGAGCCTGAAGACTGTGTTGGCTCATGCAGCTGAGCCCGGTGGGATGGTCAGGCCGTCAGGTTTTTTAAATGGTTTTTGAGAACCTTCTCCAGACCAGACCGTTTCCCGGCACAACCAAGTCACCTGAAAACCAGTGTTGAGCAGTTCTGGAAAACCCTTTCAGAACAATAGGCAACTTGCCACTGTAGAATAGATGGGGCTAGAGAGATGAAGAGGGAGGGAAGAAAATATCTCTAGTTTATAAATTAATATATTAGAAAGGACCATTATGATCATCTAGTGTGACTTTAATGAGTTGTTTCCCTGATTGAAGGATCTTTCCTGCAGAAGAAGAGCCTCGGTCACATTACTACTGTTTTGACTCCTGGATCTGTACTGACTGGCAATCTTAGTTTAAAGCAAAGTTCCAGTGTCAGTATGTCCAGGCGCCATGGAGTCCCCTGGTTGCTCACCTGAGTAGTGCTGATCTGTCAGGCTGGATGTTGCCTCCTGGATTCCATAGGAGCAGCGGGGAGTTTCAGCCATGTGCGTCCTTTCAGCAATAAATCAAACCTTGACCAAGGTTATTGTGAAAGAAAAAGAAAAACAAATAGTCTTAGTGTTTGGAGCCTTTCTTCAGAAAGCCTCATAGGTACATTATATATTGCACAAATATTTTTGTTTGATGGACCATGCTCTTTGTTAAAATGCTTATTAAATTTGCCTGCAGCTTTATTTGGAAAGAACTGGATTTGGCGGTTAGGGAGAGACAGCGTCAAGCTCATGTACTACTTTAAAAATTACAGGCAACATTGGCCACAGCAAGCTATTTACTCCTTTTATCTTTGTATTAGAGCTTTGTAGCTGTGTTAAACAATACCACTTATCCAGTGAAGGGCCAAGGCTGTCCCAGTTGTGTATTAATGCAAAATTGGGTATGTCTACAGGATTGCATGCAATAATATACTGTAACATTGAACTGCAGGGGTAACCTACTCAGATACTAAAATTGCATGTGATTGTAAAAACAAAAACAAAAGTGCATTTTTGACGGCCACCCAAAACAGATTTTTCAGTGGCAGTATTTGAATAACACTTCTAGAAACAAATTTCAAGAGTTATAAATATTTTATTAACAATCACTGTATATTTTTTGTGAAAATGTCTATTAGGAAATTTAACACAGGTACATTTAGCAAAGGATTGTTAAATTACTGTAGCGAAAATGTTAGATTACTTTTAACACTAGTTTGTTGTCATAAAACGTGCTATTCTGGCACTTCTGTCTCTAGCCAGGATGGGAAATAGCCCTGAGGGAATATTTGAATTTGGAATGGACAGCTATTCTGCAGCAAGAGCCATAGACTGCGGGCTGTACACAAAGCAGTCTTACAGTTGGCTAACTGGCTACCTGGGGATCACTCTTGCACAGGGGAATCTCCAGATCAGTATTCTGGCTGTATGTCACCTATGCTTATGGACTCTATAAGGGGCTTCAATTGTGTTGCTTCATTGCATAGGGGACTTTGATTGTGGGGGAAAGAGGGTGTGATTACACTTGGGGAATTCCTGGCAGCTGAAATGGCCTTCTAGGGTATGTCTACACAGCAAAGAAAAACCCATGGCTGGCCCATACCAGCCCACTCAGGCTTGCGGGGCTCAGGCTATGGGGCTATTTTATTGCTGTATAGATTTGCAGGTGGGAGGGTCCCAGAGGTTGGGCTGCAGCCCAGTCCCAGGAGTGCACACAGCAATGCAGACGCCACACAGCCAGAGCCCCACGAGCCCAAGTCAGCTGGCAAGGGCCAGCAACGGGTTTTTCTTGGCTGTGTAGACATACCCTTAGTGGCCATTACGACTGTGTGCAATTTGTAGCCCTGAGGCTGTTCTAAATTGCAGGGGGGGGGGGGGGGGCGGCAAATTGACCACCAGTTGACCCTAGATTTGTTTTGGAGGGTATAAGTAGTATAAACTACTTGTCTGCTTTACTCTGTAGACAGATGAGGATCCAGCCCTTACTATCTAAAATATGGATACATTTCAGTTCTGCTGTTTATTTGGCCCTGTGTTGTCTATTTTTATTTTGACTTTAGGGGAAATAATATATCTATAATAATGTGGTTAATTCATAACATTTTTTAAAAGGTGCATTGGATTTTTTACAGCTACGCTGCCTGTTGATACTATTCCAGAAAACTCAATTCGTAAAGTACGAGACTGCATTTTTTCAGTAGCCTATCCTACTCCTTTTATATCTAGAGTTCTTCTTGTAGCAGTTTCAAAGGTTAGATTTTATTTATTTCTTAGAATATAGTGTTCCTGTTTTATTAATATGTATCTTTAAAATTAATAGAAAATTTTGAACACAAAATGTATTATGTATATCGTGCACCTTCATTTTAGTGGTGTCTCTTATTAACTCAAAGAATAGCATGAACAAAATCTCACTGCCATCGGAACTTCGGTAACGTTTACATAATTTTTGCTTTTCAGGATGTTCTTGAAGGTATTTTGGACCTTGATGTATCTGTCAAAGAAACAGATGATTTTCTCCAGCTTGTCAGTGGTGGGAAAGTGGTTTTAGGGTCTATTCCTCTGGCCCATAGGTATGGAGGCCATCAGGTAACAATAATACCTGTTCTTCCACATGATAATATGCATTTATGTGCTGGCCTTTACCATTTGAATTATGTTTTGAGAATCTGTAAAAAACTCAGTGCTCGTTGAGGGCTAGATTGTAATTTTACATTCTGTCTTGTGTAAGGGGCAACAGGCAGAAAAGGGAGGGAATTGTAAATCTTGGTTAGTTTCCTCCTGTGAGTAAACCCATTGACTTCAGTAAATCTTCAACAGTAAGCAAACAGTAAGCATGTGCAGGATTATGTTGAAACATGTTTGTGGAATCAATCCCTTAATGATTACCTGAGCAACTATAGCATTATTTGTATCATATAGGTCATGTTAAGATATTTGTTAATGATGTCCCAACATGTAAATGATAGCAAGAAGAAAATTACTTAATTTTTTAAATTTCTGTTCTTGTTAGTTTGGTAGCTGGGCAGGTCAGCTGGGTGATGGAAGAGCCCACTTGATTGGAGTGTACACAAACAGGTACAGCATTCTTTATTTTAAAATGATCGTATAGCTCTTTATGTACCGTAATATTAAGTTGACATGTGGATATCCCAATATGTATCATCGTAAATACTACTGTTGTTTCTGTAGGTATGGTGAGAGATGGGAATTACAGTTGAAAGGTTCAGGAAAAACTCCATATTCAAGGTACAGTACAGTTAATTCACACAGACAGAAGTTTGATGTTTTCTCTACATATTTTAAAACAAAAGACAAAATATTCCCAATCCATTTGTTCTCTGTAGAAATGGTGATGGAAGAGCTGTGCTTCGCTCCTCTGTGCGAGAATTTTTGTGCAGTGAGGCCATGCACTACCTTGGAATTCCTACAAGCAGAGCAGCTAGGTATTACCCATCTTTTCTCTTTTGCAACATTCAAGTTTATGGAAACTATGAAGTTGAGTTTTGAGATTGGGCTTTTTTGGCTTGAGCTATGCATCAGTGAAGTGGAGTAGCTAATCTCTTAGAGATTTTTTCTAAATGCAGAGTTACAACTAGTGCCAAAATATACCCCTCCATTTTTTGAGATTGGTAAAACTGCTTAATGAGGTTTGAGAATTTTCATTACCAATTAATTCACTTTTGCCTCTGAAGTAATCTGCAAATACATTTTTGTTGATGCTACTATTTGCTATAACTTTTCTCTGTTATGGGATGAACAACTGTGCATGGATGCAAGGGAGGGTGAGAGATGGTTGTGTTTTAAAGGGACACCATCAACTTGAAATCTACTCAGTTCTCAAAAATGAGTTAAAATTAATTTGAGAAATGACACCTGCCACTAACTTCCCCTTCCATTGTCTGGTATTACTATCACAATTTCTATTTAAAAACATTTTTTTTTTACTCTCGCCTGTTGCTGTATGAAAGACCTGTGCAAGGAGCAGGGTGAACTAACTGACTCAAATCCTGATCCTATAAGTAATATGCCCCCACTTTATGTATATGAGTAGTCAGTGGGACTACTCATGCATAAAATAAGCACCTGTGTAAGTCTTTACAGGATCAGAACCTAAATCACTACACATGAAAAAAGGTGAAAATGACAATCTGCAAATATTATCATATACACAAAGTAAACAAGATGTCTCTGGTTAAAATTGTGACATTTATTTTATGTTCCACATGAGTTGGTCATGTCTGGGGGCTCATGTGTTTCAGAGTCCACAGAAAGTAAACATTCTGCAGCAAATGCATTGTACTCAGCTGTCACAATGCAAACTCTCATGGTTTCTACCGTTGCAGAGTGCCTGCAAATCTCTCTAGCATTAGTTTTAACACATTTGCTCTGCTGGAGTGCAATGTTTGTAAATAACATGTTGGAAGGTCTGTTCACTCATTTCAACAAAAGGTCCCAAAGTGTCAGTAATTGATGCAAAACCACAAATGTGTGTGGACATCAGTGTGAGAGCCTATGGCAAGGTTATGTCCTTCCTTTACTGTTGTCTTGACAAATTGTTCACTTCAGAGATACTATCAAACATTATTCCTTAACTGTGTTCTAATTCTGCTATGTACAAAATATTCCTTAGCCCACTATACTTGGCAAGTTGGTAAAGTGTCACTGAAATGATTGTATAAGGCTGTTCTGTAGACTCTTTCCACCAGACTTGTTTTATAAAGTTTTCACTTGAAGAAACCCAGCTGATATCCATATTCTTCCCAATAGGGAACTGTTGTCTCAACAATTTTAATTCATTTACAAAGTTCTTGCTGAGTCTTGGCAGAAATGTCAGAAAGGGCCATATAACTCAGTCAAGAAGAGCATCCTACAGATGGGTTCATGCCGTTAACTTCATGTGCTATGTTCCCAACTGGAAGTTGCAGTCTACATCTGCAGTAGTGCCAGATGAAGAAAATAGCTTTATCTGGTACTACTGCAGTCATAGTCTGGGGCTTCTAATTGGGAAAACAACACATGAAGTTAGTGGGGTGAACCCACCTGTAGGGTGATCTTTATTTTTAATAAGGATTCAGGGTGAAATTCATCTTGCCTATATAGCCTCAATATTCAGAATGTAGGGCAGTGTATATAAGAAGCCAGAGGAGGCTAAGCTTCCCCAAAAAAGGCTGGCCATGCAGGGGGGGAAATCCCATAGATGCGTCGTGAGTCACCCCTCCGTAGGCGTGCCTGCCCACTGCTATCTTTGAAGCGCCGAAAGTGAAGCTCCATAGAAAGGGGCGGGGCCGCGCTCCGTGCGTCCCCACTCTGCCTCTTTCCCCAAGGCCTCCCCGTCCGCTGCTCACTCCTCTCCTCCTTCCCCCCATCACTCACCTAAGGCAGGAAAAAGTGATGGGGCCGTGGCCCCCCCCTGTTCTGGGAAGGGGGCGGGCAGAGAGAAGCAAGCGGTGGATGGGCATGGCCTCAGGGGAGGAGGCAGAGAGGAGCGAGCGGTGAGTGGGGGGACCTTGGGGTAGAGGGAGGAGAGGAGCAAGTGGCGGGCAGACAGGGCCTTGGGGGAGGAGATGGAGAGGAGTGAGCAGCGGGTGGGTGGGGTTTTGGGGGAGGGGGCAGGAAGAAGCAGTACAAGGGTGGGGCCTTGGGAGAAGAGGCGGGATGGGGCTTCTAGGTTGCTTCGGCTCTTGCATATGAGCCTCCCCAAACGGAGGACATGCGCTGCCTGTGTCTGGGCCTGTCCCCAAGTGGCCTTACCCACCAACTGTGGGAGCCAGTATGAAGGCTGTTTCCATGATGCTCATTGGGTGCGTAGGGACCCTTGCTGCACAGCCAGCCAATCCTTGTGTTGGCCATCCCACCAGGATGAATATCACCCTTTGTAAGGAAGTAACCATTCGCTGATATTCCCCTTTCACTAAAATGGCGGATGCGCCATCAGTAGTAAAGGAAGTCCTATTACTGTGTAGGACGTTTGCAGGAAACCTATTAGCACTCAGGTAATCCAAAAGATCTAATGAAATCTCTGCAGCTGTATTTCTGTTGAAGAAAGTAGAACTGGAGATTCTCCTCCACTGCTTTGAGGCACATAGTCAGGACTGACCATTTGCTTGCTGGCTTCCCTATTGCTATTCATTCCCTATTACTGAGATTTTTGCCAATTTCTCTTGAATGCTTGAGATTTTCTCCTTTTCATTTCTGCTAAAATCTGACTCCTACCAGCGCACATTCATAGATTCATAGATTCATAGATTCTAGGACTGGAAGGGACCTCGAGAGGTCATCGAGTCCAGTCCCCTGCCCGCATGGCAGGACCAAATACTGTCTAGACCATCCCTGATAGACATTTATCTAACCTACTCTTAAATATCTCCAGAGATGGAGATTCCACAACCTCCCTAGGCAATCTATTCCAGTGTTTAACCACCCTGACAGTTAGGAACTTTTTCCTAATGTCCAACCTAGACCTCCCTTGCTGCAGTTTAAGCCCATTGCTTCTTGTTCTATCCTCAGAGGCTAAGGTGAACAAGTTTTCTCCCTCCTCCTTATGACACCCTTTTAGATACCTGAAAACTGCTATCATGTCCCCTCTCAGTCTTCTCTTTTCCAAACGAAACAAACCCAATTCTTTCAGCCTTCCTTCATAGGTCATGTTCTCAAGACCTTTAATCATTCTTGTTGCTCTTCTCTGGACCCTCTCCAATTTCTCCACATCTTTCTTGAAATGTGGTGCCCAGAACTGGACACAATACTCCAGCTGAGGCCTAACCAGAGCAGTGTAGAGCGGAAGAATGACTTCTCGTGTCTTGCTCACAACACTCCTGTTAATACATCCCAGAATCATGTTTGCTTTTTTTGCAACAGCATCACACTGTTGACTCATATTTAGCTTGTGGTCCACTATAACCCCTAGATCTCTTTCTGCCATACTCCTTCCTAGACAGTCTCTTCCCATTCTGTATGTGTGAAACTGATTTTTTCTTCCTAAGTGGAGCACTTTGCATTTGTCTTTGTTAAACTTCATCCTGTTTAACTCAGACCATTTCTCCAATTTGTCCAGATCATTTTGAATTATGACCCTGTCCTCCAAAGCAGTTGCAATCCCTCCCAGTTTGGTATCATCCGCAAACTTAATAATCGTACTTTCTATACCAATATCTAAGTCGTTAATGAAGATATTGAACAGAGCCGGTCCCAAAACAGACCCCTGCGGAACCCCACTCGTTATGCCTTTCCAGCAGGATTGGGAACCATTAATAACAACTCTCTGAGTACGGTTATCCAGCCAGTTATGCACCCACCTTATAGTAGCCCCATCTAAATTGTATTTGCCTAGTTTGTCGATAAGAATATCATGCGAGACCGTATCAAATGCCTTACTAAAGTCTAGGTATACCACATCCACAGCTTCTCCCTTATCCACAAGACTCGTTATCCTATCGAAGAAAGCTATCAGATTGGTTTGACATGATTTGTTCTTTACAAATCCATGCTGGCTGTTCCCTATCACCTTACCACCTTCCAAGTGTTTGCAGATGATTTCCTTAATTACTTGCTCCATTATCTTCCCTGGCACAGAAGTTAAACTAACTGGTCTGTAGTTTCCTGGGTTGTTTTTATTTCTCTTTTTATAGATGGGCACTATATTTGCCCTTTTCCAGTCTTCTGGAATCTCTCCCGTCTCCCATGATTTTCCAAAGATAATAGCTAGAGGCTCAGATACCTCCTCTATTAGCTCCTTGAGTATTCTAGGATGCATTTCATCAGGCCCTGGTGACTTGCAGGCATCTAACTTTTCTAAGTGATTTTTAACTTGTTCTTTTTTTATTTTATCTGCTAAACCTACCCCCTTCCCATTAGCATTCACTAGGATAGGCATTCCTTCAGACTTCTCGGTGAAGACCGAAACAAAGAAGTCATTAAGCATCTCTGCCATTTCCAAGTTTCCTGTTACTGTTTCTCCCTCTTCACTAAGCAGTGGGCCTACCCTGTCTTTGGTCTTCCTCTTGCTTCTAATGTATTGATAAAAAGTCTTCTTGTTCCCCTTTATTCCCTTAGCTAGTTTGAGCTCATTTTGTGCCTTTGCCTTTCTAATCTTGCCCCTGCATTCCTGTGTTGTTTGCCTATATTCATCCTTTGTAATCTGTCCTAGTTTCCATTTTTTATATGACTCCTTTTTATTTTTTAGATCATGCAAGATCTCGTGGTTAAGCCAAGGTGGTCTTTTGCCACATTTTCTATCTTTCCTAACCAGCGGAATAGCTTGCTTTTGGGCCCTTAATAGTGTCCCTTTGAAAAACTGCCAGCTCTCCTCAGTTGTTTTTCCCCTCAGTCTTGATTCCCATGGGACCTTACCTATCAGCTCTCTGAGCTTACCAAAATCCGCCTTCCTGAAATCCATTGTCTCTATTTTGCTGTTCTCCCTTCTACCCTTCCTTAGAATTGCAAACTCTATGATTTCATGATCACTTTCACCCAAGCTGCCTTCTACTTTCAAATTCTCAACGAGTTCCTCCCTATTTGTTAAAATCAAGTCTAGAACAGCTTCACCCCTAGTAGCTTTTTCAACTTTCTGAAATAAAAAGTTGTCTGCAATGCAGTCCAAGAATTTGTTGGATAGTCTGTGCCCCGCTGTGTTATTTTCCCAACATATATCCGGATAGTTGAAGTCCCCCATCACCACCAAATCTTGGGCTTTGGATGATTTTGTTAGTTGTTTAAAAAAAGCCTCATCCACCTCTTCCACCTGGTTAGGTGGCCTGTAGTAGACTCCTAGCATGACATCACCCTTGTTTTTTACCCCTTTTAGCCTAACCCAGAGACTCTCAACACTTCCATCTCCTATGTCCATCTCTACCTCAGTCCAAGTGTGTACATTTTTAATATATAAGGCAACACCTCCTCCCTTTTTCCCCTGTCTATCCTTCCTGAGCAAGCTGTATCCATCCACACCAACATTCCAATCATGTGTATTATCCCACCAAGTTTCAGTGATGCCAACAATGTCATAGTTGTATTTATTTATTAGCACTTCCAGTTCTTCCTGCTTATTACCCATACTTCTCGCATTTGTATATAGGCATCTAAGATACTGGTTTGATCTTTCCTCCCGGTTTTGTCCTGACCCTCCTTTCTCTCTGCCAATATAGCCCACACTCCCTCTCGTCTCCGACCCATCTCCCAGGTCTCCATGTTCCCCACTTACCTGCGGGCTTTGCTCACCTGTCCCCGTCGAACCTAGTTTAAAGCCCTCCTCACTAGGTTAGCCAGTCTGTGTCCAAATAGGGTCTTTCCCCTCCTCGAAAGGTGAACACCATCTCTGCCTAGCAGTCCTTCCTCAAATAGCATCCCGTGGTCTAGGAAGCCAAAGCCCTCCTGGCGACACCATCTTCGCAGCCAGGCATTCACCTCCATGATGCATCTGTCTCTGCCCGGGCCCCTACCTTTGACAGGAAGAATCGAAGAGAATACCACCTGCGCTCCAAACTCCTTCACCCGTACTCCCAGAGCCCTGTAGTCACTCTTGATCCGCTCAGTGTCACACCGCGCAGTATCATTTGTGCCCACATGGATGAGTAGCATGGGGTAGTAGTCAGAGGGCTGGATAATCCTCGACAATGCCTCCGTAACGTCTCGGATACGGGCTCCCGGCAGGCAGCATACCTCCCGAGATGAAATGTCAGGGCGACAGATGGGCGCCTCCGTCCCCCTCAGCAGAGAGTCTCCGACCACCACTACCCTACTTTTCCTATTCGCAGTGGTGGCAGCAGACCTCCCAGCCTTAGGGGTACGAGGCTTCTCCTCCTTTACTGTAGGGGGTGATGCCTTCTTTCCTGTATCAAGAAGAGCATAATGGTTACCTATTACCACAGCGGGAGGGTTCGGAGCAGGGGTGGAGCACTGCCTGCTGCCAGAAGTAACCAGCTGCCAGTGTCCACCCTGAGCCATCTCCTCCTCCACCAGTGGTGTATCAGCAGTCCTGTGTCCTGGGACAGCTACCTCAGCTGTCTCCACATGGACACTGTCCAGGAATTGCTCGTGGATTCGGATGCTTCTCAACCTAGCCACCTCCTCCTGTAGCTCTCCCACCTGCTGCCTGAGAGATTCCACCAGCAGGCACCTTTCACATTGGATGGTCCCCTCAGCCTGGATATCAGTAAGTGGAAATTGCAAGTTACAGTCTCTGCAAAACCACACCAGGATCTGGGTAGAAGCATCCATGCTCAGGCGCTCTGTCTGGCTACAGGCGCAGGTGGAGGAGACAGAAGCAGTGCTGGCACAGGTGTTGCGGGTCTTCCTAACCATCGTAAGCCTCCCTCTGTCAAACTCCCGTCTGCAGCCCCCTGTCCGCTGAAAGGGTTGTTTAAGCAAGAAGTTTAAAGTTTTAAGGGGAATAAAGGGAAAACAGATAGAACCGGCAAGGGACCCTCGCCCCTTCCCACTCCCCTTCCCAACTCCCTTGCGAAACTCCCTGTTAGCAGCCCCTGTTCGCAAACAGTTCCCTGACTAATGTACTCATCCTATATGGCTATGTCCAAATCAGTCTTTGTTGAGCAAAAATTCCCCCATGTTGCTAATACCAGTACACCTCCACTAGTGTCAACAATACTGGGAGTGGAAGACAAGGCTCCAGACAGCCGCTGGCATTTTATCTACTGTGACTTCTAAACTTGCTCAGAGCAGATCTACCCAACACAGTGGTTAAAACCCTGGCAGCTGCTATCTTTGCTCATGCTCTCACTGTTGCTACTGCTAGTGGAGCCATAGGCGCCAGCTTCCTCCGGGCCCGGGCGGTGCTCAACCCCCCGCTCTACCCCAGGCCCCACCCAATTGCTTCCCCCAAACCCCTATCTCCATCCCGCCTCTTCCTGCCCCCACTCTGCCCCAGGGCCCGCCCCCACCCCATCCCCCAAGTCCTCATCCCAGCCCCACCTCTTCCCACCCAGTTCCGCCCCCTCCCCTGAGCATGCCACGTCCCCTCCCTCCCAGAGCCTCCTGCATGCCGTGAAATAGCTGATCGCGGCAGACGGGAGGCACTGGGGGGGGGGGGGTAGGAGGGAACTGGCTGCTGGTGGGTGCTAAGAACCCGCTAGTTTTTTTTTCCATGGGTGCTCCAGGGCTGGAGCACCCACAGAGTCAGCACCTATAAGTGGAGCTGTACTAGTTTTACCAATAATGGAAATTTTTTCTAAAAAAAGGCTAATGTAGACATTGTCTATGTAAAATCCACTGAGTTACTGTACATAAAAGGTCAGCAAGGAACTCCTGACAGGGAGCTCACCATGAGGGTCCTTTGACTTTGAAATTGACTCCCTACAACCCTTGTCAGAAATAATCCATCTTGTTTTGCCTTTAGGGCACACAGCAAAATCCATTTATATGGCTAGAAGGAGGGTTGAGTCTTGTAAAGCAAATGAGGGAGTCTGGATTTTTATCTGAAGGGGATAAGGTTTTTCAGTAGCCGAACTGGGGAGATTTCAGTTTTGTGGATTTTTTTTTTTTTAAATGTAGAGGAAAGTTGGTGGTGAGACTACTAGTATGGTAGCACTGGTTCGAATGAAGATAGAAACCTACATTGTGATGTCAGTTTTTGGTTTTTAATTTTCTTTCAGTCAGCTGGGAGTCTGAGACTATTGTTATTTATTTTACAACAGAATCAGTCAATAATCGGAGTCCCAACCATGCTAGGTGCTGTACAGCACGAATTAAAAAAAAAGACAATCCTTGCCCCAGAGCTCACAATTTAAGATTATGACAAGATGGCACAGATGAAAGAAACAGACAGAGGATGCGTTGTGGGGTTGGAGGATAAGGTAAAGGTGAAACAAACACATTTTGCTAATAAGCTGTAGCCTCATCTTGTCACCTGCCTACATCATTTCTAAAGACTTAATCATACCAGCACACCAATTATTCATCTTTTCTTTCTTCTTTAAAATGAAATACGATCGTAAAATGTGACTTGCAAAATATTTTTGCTGAGACAACTTTCATGGCTTTTTATCTTCTCTTACAGCTTAGTTGTAAGTAATGATGATGTGTGGAGAGACCAGTTTTACAATGGAAGTGTTAAAAAAGAAAGAGGTAATCAATGCATTTAAAATATTCTCCAGTGACTTTTTACATTGTGTACTTGGAAAGTGCACTATATTTTTAGAACGAAAATATGCACCAAATCATCTCATTTCCAGAGAGTCCTTATTTAGATACTATACTTCCTCCTGAGGAAATCAGCCCCCAAATGTTTCTTAATTTAAAATTCCTGTGGTCAAGGCTGCTGTTGGTGTGGCATACCTGACCTGCGTGTGTGTCTTCTCTTTCAAAATTTGACCACAACAGCCACAACAAAAGAGGTAAAGGGGGAATTTTGATAGAGCTCCCCTCCAGCAGTGTCCTCTTTTTGGGAACCTGAAATATGGTAACCTTAGTCTTAACTTAATTATTGCTACAAAATACTTGCTCTCTAACTGAGGTAGGGAGAGGGCAGAAAAGATGTTAAAGGGAGAAGCTGAAATTGCTTATGATTTTATGCCAAATAAAAGTGGATGTGTTGGAGGAAGAGGGTGTGGGGGCAGGGCAGGAATGGAAGGGGAAGCAACAGGGTTGTCTCAGTATCTTCCCCTGGAAAAGGTTTAGAAGAGGGAGAAAGGAGTCCAGAAGAGCTGTCTGTATTTTAAAGAATCTTTATTGCGGTTGCAGGAACAAACCATCCCAATATGTAGAAAGAATAGTAAATATGGCAGGCAACGAGCTTGGCTTAACAGTGAAATCCTTGCTGATCTTAAACACAAAAAGAAGCTTACAAGAAGTGGAAGATTGGACAAATGACCAGGGAGGAGTATAAAAATATTGTTCAGGCATGCAGGAGTGAAATCAGGAAGGCCAAATCACACTTGGAGTTGCAGCTAGCAAGGGATGTGAAGGGTAACAAGAAGGGTTTCTAGAGCTATGTTAGCAACAAGAAAAAGGTCAGGGAAAGTGTCGGACCCTTACTGAATGGCGGAGGCAACCTAGTGACAGATGATGTGGAAAAACCTGAAGTACTCAGTGCTTTTTTTGCCTCGGTCTTCACAGACAAGGTCAGCTCCAACACTGCTGTCCTGGGCAACACAATATGGGGAGGAGGTGAGCAGCCCTTGGTGGTGAAAGAACAGGTTAAGGACTGTTTAGAAAAGCTGGACATGCACAAGTCCATGGGTCCAGATCTAATGCATCCGACGGTGCTGAGAGAATTGGCTGATGTGATTGCAGAGCCATTATCTTTGAAAACTCGTGGCGATCGGGGAAAGGCAAATATAGTGCCCATCTTTAAAAAAGGGAAGAAGGAGGATCTGGGGAACTACAGGCCAGTCAGCCTCACCTCAGTCCCTGGAAAAATCATGGAGGAATCATCCTCATCCTCAAGGAATCAATTTTGAAGCACTTCGAGGAGAGGAAAGTGATCAGGAATAGTCAGCATGGATTCACCAAGAGGAAGTCATGCCTGACTAACCTAATTGCCTTCTATGATGAGATAACTGGCTCTGTGGATGATGGGAAAGCAGTGGACGTGTTATTCCTTGACTTTAGCAAAGCTTTTGATACAGTATCCCAAGTATTCTTGCCAGCAAGTTAAAGAAGTATGGGCTGGATGAATGGACTATAAGGTGGATAGAAAGCTGGCTAGATCATCGGGCTCAACGGTAATGATCAATGGCTTAATGTCTAGTTGGCAGCTGGTATCAAGCGGAGTGCCCCAAGGTTCGGTCCTGGGGCCGGTTTTGTTCAATATCTTCATTAATGATCTGGAGGATGGTGTGGATTGCACCCTCAGCAAGTTCGCAGATGACACTAAACTAGGAGGAGTGGTAGATACGCTGGAGGATAGTGTGGAAGAAACGAACTGCACTCTCAGGTTGGAAGCAACAAAATCAGAGACAGCTTTATTCAGGACATGCAATTGCAAGGGAAGAACACAGCTGACAGAGAACATCTCTGCCTCAGTTTCCCCAAAGTACAAGCAAAATCACACAAGCATTTATACCTCTTTGTGATGTGCATTAATTAAAAACATCTGCATTTTATTTAGGCTATTTGCTATCTATTCCAGTATTTTCTCACTTTCTCTTCTCAAACATTGTTATCTCAAGGCTAGGTCACACTGACTATTCTGCTGTTTTCCACTCGCTTCTGATGTGAGCCCTGCTTCTACAGGTCTCGCAATATTAGGCTAAGACTTAAATGGCTGCACTTAAACCCTCTCTTTCTTTCCCTGCTTCCACAGTAGGGATAGCATACAGAGGGACCTAGACAAATTGAGATTGGGCCAAAAGAAATCTGATGAGGTTTTAAGAAGGACAAGTGCAGAGTCCTGCACTTAGGACGGAAAAATCGCATGCACTGCTACAGACTAGGGACCAAGTGGCTAGGCAGGAGTTTGGCAGAAAAGGACCTAGGGGTTACAGTGGATGAGAAGCTGGATATGATTCAACAGTGTGCCCTTGTTGCCAAGAAGGATAACGGCATTTTGGGCTGTATATGTAGGAGCATGGCCAGCAGATCGAGGGATGTGATCATTTCCCTCTATTCGGCATTGGTGAGGCCTCATCTGGAGTACTGTGTTAGAAGGATGTGGAAAAATTGGAAAGAGTCCAATGGAGGGCAACAAAAATTATTAGGGGGCTGGAGCACATGATTTATGAGGAGAGGCTGAGGGAACTGGGATTGTTTAGTCTGCAGAAGAGAAGAATGAGGGGGGATTTGATAGCTGCTTTCAGCTACCTGAAAGGGGGTTCCAATGAGGATGGATCTAGACTGTTAGTGGTAACAGATGACAGAACAAGGAGTAATGGTCTCAAGTTGCAGTGGGGGAGGTTTAGGTTGGATATTAGGAAAAACTTTTTCACTAGGAGGGTGGTGAAGCACTGGAATGGATTACCTAGGGAGGTGGTGGAATCTCCT